GTTTTACAGTCTGGAAGTGTTGGACTGCTTAACTTCAACGGAGAAAAAACACAATGGAAGTTACACAGTATTGTGATGGAAACGCTGACTCTGCCAGTACAGGAATGTCAGAGTATTTCGTTTTAACTTTTCTTGCTGGACATACTTAACACTGCTAAGGATAAAATTACTTTTTAATTTACAGCTTATCTCTCTGCACTTTTTGTAGTGGTCAGAGTTCCCTATTATAATTCTTCCCTAAGGCTATATCTTAAAGTTTCACTTCAGCTGCCATTTTAAATTAACTTTTAAGAGTATGCAGAAAGGAAAACCTCTCTATTCCTCAGTGACTCTCAAAAAACACAAGTTCCAGCAGGATTATGCATTAGAGACAACCTTGAACTGTTTTTGTTAAGGCCCTGGTGCTTATTCAGTCAGTGTACTGTTCAACTCTGTTTATATTTTGTTCACAGTCATTAAAATCCCAGACACACGTGCTTATATTTATTTCCATGCATGGAGGGGTGTGAGGGCATAAAGAAAAGAAGAGTGAAAAAGAAAGACACATTTTGTGAATTGCTACTTGATGTCAGTGTGCATGAACTGCTGATCACCTGGCATCTGACTGTCCTTTTTTGTTTGCTGTTCTAGTTTTGCTGTCATACAATAATGTAGCCAGTGGAAAAGCAAAGCAGGCTTTGAAGCGTGAAAAGCGAGTATCTTAATCATTGTTCCCCTGCTACCAAAATACCTCTGGTTTGCTTCCTTGGAGTATTGACTTTCCAGTCTAGTGATTGTGTTTCAGCGTCTGCATTAAATATTTAATTGCTATCGTTTTAACATACAGTACATACAATGTAGGTGAAAACTAAGCATTGCTGGAGAAGGGGCAAGGCAAAGAGTGGTACAGTGGAAATGCAGGCAGGAAGAGAAATGGAGGGAAGAGAATGAAGAAGAAAGTAGGAAAGAACAGAGAAATTCAGTGTAATTTGAAATTTAGCAAGATACTTAATGACTAATAAAATGAATTCCAGTTGTATAAAATGTATATTCCTTTTATTTGATTTTTTTTTTTTTTGCCAGCCTTTATCTGACATCTTACAGCAGTTTCTGTTCTCTTTCAAGGGAACAGTTCTCTACAAATTCACATGAATGCTAGCATGGCCTGCAGGAATGCACCTAGGATGCAAGCTTGAGTTCTTATTCTGTGTACTGATATGTACACACATATGCAAAACATTTTGTTGGTGTCTCTGCCTGTTTTGTTTCTATCTGCACACTTCATACAATATTGAGAACCTACAACAAAGGGATAGGGAAATGAGCAGATAATTTTTGTACTTGGTATCTAGAACCTGTGACACAGAAGTCTTTTTAAACCAATGTTCTCTATACAGGGAATTTTCTTTTAAGCAAAGCATCTGCAGTGCGTTTGTTCCTTTGTGGTACTTCCAGTGTCTTTTGATTTTGGTTTGGTTTGAGGTATTTTGGCTCTCCAGAAGTATTATTGCCTTCTCACAGCTAGGTAGTAATCCTCTTATTCCCAAGAGGATCAGTAGGCTGGAATAGACTGGACATGAGTTAATGCTGCCCTAGTTAGTATGAAGCTGGAATTTTATTGTAAGACTTGCTTTGTGGCTGTTTTTCTGTGTCTAGCCATGAGTCCTCCTTGTTTCTTTGGCTCAGTCTCCCTTTGATAGTGATTTGTTGCTTGCTTCGGTGATCCCTTTGCAGAAAGAGAGAATGCTTCAAAGATTTGTCTTTGAATCTTTTTCAGTCCTTAGGAGCAGAAAATCCTCTTACCATGACTATTCCAAGTGTAATGGCAGTAAGGCTGATGAGGCCTGTAGATAGCAGTTTTGTGCTTTATAATAGCCCATACAATATAAAAGATAGAAAACTAAAATTCAGTCTGTGTTTGGGAAAAAAATACTTAATTTATTTTTATTAACTGACCCTTTTTTTAAATTCACAAACTCTCTTGAACTGAACTGGTGGTTAGCAAGTTATTGCAGGGTAAGTATTTCAGTTGAGTATTTTCTCATTCACTTAATTTTATGTAATCTCCAAAAGAAATTAATGTTAATTAATCCTCTCCTTTTATCAGCATGTAGATAGAAAAGGAAAGAGAATGTAACTAAGTCTATTCCAGTGTTCTTCATTTCAAATAACTCTGCTCTTGCCTATTGTGAAGGTGAATTCTTTCCACAATAAACAGTGCAGTCCCACACCAGGCCTGTTTCCCATTCATCAAACATCACCTTAATGATGGCTGAGGTAATTCTGTATTGAATTGCTTATGTGTTTTTCTCTGTGGCAGACAGTGCCTGATGTAGCAGGTCAGGACTCGTTTTCAGTGGTATGTCACTGATGTGATGCAATGACTCTCAGTCCCAACCAATGTTGAGGAATAGCTCCCAGTACTTGAGGCTGACTATGTCTATTCATGAATCAAGGGACAGCGTAGAACTCATCCTCCTAAGAAAACAGTTTGCTTATTAATGTCATCTGACAAAAAAATATAAATGGATTTTTTATTTTAGGCTCATATGCTTATCGCAGTTTCTTAAACACTGTGTGAGCATGGACTTTGGGAGACAGTAGAAAGCCATACAATTTGCATGAAACTAAACCAGGATCTATCTGAGAAAATAATTAGGCTTGGAGGGGAGGTTTTCCTTTGCAGGATGTTTCTGGAAAGGAAAGAAAAATAGAACTAATGGTTAAGTAGAGCCTCATATTACAGGTTCTTGTCTGTGATTGTCTAGAAATTGAATTAACATCTCTCTTGTGCATATCGTTTAAAATGTAACTTAGGAAAGGCTGCACAGAGGTTAGGACTCTGAAGGTCTAATAAGCAAAAAATAGTAGCAGAGGTCCTCACACAGGGAGAAGGGAGGACTTGTGACAAGAGAGGAAAGGAGGCAAGACGGGGAAGAGAAAAGTTAATTTTGGCAGTTGAACTGACAGAATAGATTTGTCTCCAAGCCCAATAGTTGTAAAAGTAGGCCAAAGGGGTCTACTGAGTAAACAAATTGAAGTTTGTTAGTTCTTCCAAAAATGATACTTTCTGTGTGCACTGTCTGGGCACAACAGAAGACAGAAAAGGAACTTTAACGTTAGTCTTTTAATTACAGAAGACAATTACATATGGTTTTAATGCTACTATCAACATTTTTTTGCCTTCAGGAATAAAAGATCTATTGTTCATAAACACAGAGGGCTTGCCCACAGTTCTGGGTGTTATTAAGGGGAATTGTCTTATGTGTAAATCTATTAGGTTCCTTAACTCTGCATTCTGAAATAAGCATAAAATGTCAAGTTTTACAATCTAATATTTTCAGAAGAAGATTTTGTAAGATAATTTTTATTTCTGTTAATTACATGTAGTTTACTAAAAAGAAAAAAGAGCAATAAGAGTGAGGCAGTTTATTTCTAAAGACTCCTCTCTGATTGTTATTGTGTGGTATCTGTCATCCTGTAGTGCTGCATGCTTTTCCTAAATAGGTAGGGGGAGGTCTATAACTCCTTGGGGTTACTTTGGTTTTGGGGGGCAGGGGAAACTAATCTGATAGGGAGGGAAAAAAAGCTTAAGAAGTTTAAGTATTACTGTAATGTAACTGCAGAAGTTCTCTCATAAACATGTGCAAACTACAGGGAAAATATCAAATTTTTTTGGTGGCAGATGTTAAGTCTTTAAAAATTATTTTTTGAAAATACCATCATGTTTTAATCTGAATTGACTCTCCATAAATTTCTGTGGTTATATATATATATATTTTTTTTTAATCTTTACTACAGTAGGAAACTAAAAGTGTATGGGGGGAAGAGAATGAAAGATCACTTTTGAAGCTTGCTGTCAAGAATTACTCACTTTGTCTTTATCCTCACCACAAGATTTGAATTCTGTGGTGACAGAGGAAGAAGAGGGAAAGGAGGGCAAAGAGAGAACACGGAAAAACACAGATTAGGATTATGGGCTGAGGGGAAAGGAAGGAAGAATGATAAAGAGCAGAGTGAATTTGTGGGACTGCAGCTCAGAAGGACGTGGCAAAATTTGTTTCCAGAACATAGTGAAAATTTGAGAATGGAGGGAAGTCTGTTCCCTAATGATCTTCCTTTAGTGACTCACCCATCTACCGTCCCTCACAAAAATGCATAGCAGCCCCTATTAAAAAAAAAAAGAATTATCCATTTCTCATACTTGCTGGCTGCTAGAGATATGAATAATTCAGGGGGTAGCCTATGAGAATAGGACTACCTGGTATGAGGGAATCAAAAAAAAAATGGGAGCTGGTACCTTCATGGAAGCAATGCAGACTGAGAACATGGACCAGCTCTTCAGGCAGCGTGCACTGGAAAATGCTTGACTGACCCAGTGTAAACAAAATAGGCTGTGCTTTTACCTAGTAATAAGTCACTCCCAATAAGTGTCTGTTTTGCCTGTACCTAAACCCAGCCCTTTTGTTGGGGCATACCTTTTTGGTATTGTATTTTGTATAGGTATTATATACATATAATGAACATGAACCTGTTCATGTTCCTGATCTGAGACAGGAGTAAACCTATTTAAAGTTTAGCAATATGGAACCCATACCATGGCATTATATTAGGTTGACTGGGCATGATAGACAGAAGTCAAACATCCTGCGTGGAAAATCAGTGAGTATGAGGAAGAAGGGAGTAGCAACTTAAATTGAAATGGATTAGACTGTGGTCAAAACAAGCCAGTATGTAAGATATGCAGAAAACATTAATTCTACCAAAACAGGACACAGAATAGCTTTAAATTGTACACGTGTACAATTTTCTTAGCATTCAGAAATGTCTCACTACCTTTTAAACAAAGTTTATTCCAGTAAGGTATTTCTTTGCGAATGCCATCAAAAAACACTTCAAAGCACCATGTGCTGATTTCAGTAGCAATTTAGGTTTTTGCAGCAGAGTATAATGTCTTCTGTGCGATGAGCCTGATGAGTTCTTTTTTTCTTTTTGTCTTTCTAAATTTATGTGGGCTGCAGATGGTTCTGTGAAGGAAAAGAACTCCAGAATACCCCTGACATTCAGATCCGTTCTGGAAGTGGAGGACTTCATTCACTAATTATAGCAGAAGCCTTTGAAGACGATACTGGACGCTATACTTGTCTGGCTTCAAATTCCATTGGTTCAGATAGTACATCAGCTGAAATATTCATTGAAGGTAAGAGACACAGGAAAAGATAATTAAGCTGAAGTTTACTTTTGCTTCTGTATGTTAAGATTACGTTTGCTTTGGTGGTATTTTCATGGTGTGCCTCTACTTCCCTTTAATGCAACACATTTTGAACATCACTTCATAATAATTCAGGTATTTCAAGGAATGTCCCAAGAATCAGTGGATAGATTGTTATTATTTTAGGGTACAAGTAAGATAAAGAATGGAAAAGGAGGAACAAGCAGAGTTTTTGGCATATGGTTAGCTTTTAAGTAGTACCCCCTGTAAATCAAAGGTTTGACTGGTGATATCAATAATGATTTTCATGATAGCAGTAATCCCCTGTCTCAGTTCTGAACTTCTTCCCAATGCAATTAAATGTAGCTGCCCCAAATGAGTGTCCTTCAGGCATGGGTAAATGTATTGTAATTCTTCATATTTGGTACACTGACTTTAAGTCAGGTTAAAAGTCAGTCATACTGGTTTTGTCCAGAATCAACTGTTAGTAATTGTAAAAATATTTCTTGACTTCAAAATTAGTCATAATTCAAGTATTATTTTCTCTGAGGAAAGTTAATGATTTGACCATGAGTAAAATTATTAAATTAATTTTTTAGTGGAGGACTATATTTTAGTCATGATTCTACTAATTGAATACTGATTTTTATTTTAATTCATGCATCTTTCAAACATTTTGGTAATATGCATTCTTTTACCAGTTTAGTAACTCATTAATATGATTTTAAATGGTTAATTGAAAGCATAAGACAAATTAATATAAGAAATACTCATAACAAATCTGAATAATACCATACCAAAATGATTAAATAGCTTTTGATTAACAAAGCAATAAACTTTTCACTAGAAATTCACTAAATCACGACAGATGTGCATTTATAGGGTTTCTTTCATATGTTTTTTTATGAACTATTTTATCCCACATTGGGATGTAATAGCAAAATCAGCAAGACATTTCTGAATCTTACGGATTCTAGTAAGACTTTTCTTTACAGAAGTAAGCATGATTTCAGAAATACTCGGGTATCGTACAAATATACTACTGTGTGAAGTTATAATAACAGAAGCAACACTAAAAAAGAAACAGCTGGGTAGAGAGATACAGGGACTAAAACAATTCCTTTTTTGAGATTTGGCAAAGTCTTACTATGTGGAAGTGCTATGTTGAAGTATTACAACATGTACTTTGAGAGAGAGAGAATTGTACAAGTTGTTAGGCTCCTCCCCTGTGATCTTTAAGGAAACCAGATTGTCACACCAGCATTGCTTTGCACATTAATAGTCTTGATGACACTGATGCCTCATACTTTCTTCTGTGCAGCAGGCCCAGCCACACAAGACCTGGTTATCTTTTGCTCAAGAGAAATACTTCGATGTAGGCACACTTTGCTCACTTGACATTGCTTCTCTCTTACCTTTCCTGTGCTACTTGTTGCTTTGATTTTTGTAGTCTAAACTTTGTAAATAAATAGGGTGCTCAGGTGCCTCAGTCCAAACTTTCTTTCACTGGAATCAGTCTGTGTTATACTATGCATATTGATTATGAATTTCTTATGACTTGTATTACAAATACAGCTACGCATGTGTATGCACAAATCCTTTGAGGAATAGTATGTACTGCATAAATGTCTAGAATAAATGTTGTGCAAAGTACCAGTTATTAAGAAAATTTAAGACAAAGGGAATAAATGCTTTCGTATTTTTTTCTTCTAATGAGTTTAGGGTATTGCTAAACACATATATTATATCAAGACTTCCACTGGCAAGAAATAACAGTACATAAATGTTATGTATAGGTTAATATAAATAGTCTGAACTGTGGAGATTGTGAGTAGCAAGTTTTGTCTGAAAATGTCTTGCTATACTGAGTTGCTCTCGCATAAGGTTGAAGATTTGTTATCTGTGTATAAGCCATATGTTTATATTGCTTATGCTTTAAGTTTTAACATTCAAGTAAATAAAACTATATGTTTCCAGTAGAGTAGTAGCAGTCACCTTTTTTTTTTCTTTTTTGGCCGTATTTGCTTCAATATGAAGGAGGACAGCTAAAAGCTTAGGGAAAACATTTTGCAATTAAATTGGCATGGTTATGATTTTTGTAACTGTCTAAAGTACTTAGTTACAAACTTTTATCAGGTAAGAAAAACTACAGTAGTTTATTACAGAGAGTTCTAAACTCTTGAAGTGAAATGCAATAGTAGCACAGTTTTTTCTTTGTAATGTAAACATTAAATAAATCAGTAAAAGGATATGAGATTATTGAAAATACTTTCTTTTCCAGGTGCCAGTTCCACAGATTCAGAGAGTGAAAGTTTAATTTTCAAATCAAAATCTGGAGCTATGCCACAGTAAGTGTGCAAAGTAGAACAATGCTGTGCAAATGTTCTTAATAAGGGGCGCTGGAACATCTTCAGTAACTTTAGATCTGAATAAGCATCTGGGGTATATTTGTGTATGTCTTGTGTTTTCTCCTTCTCTCACGTGATATAAATGCGTAGTATTATAACTGTCAATTTTATTAATGCACTTGTTCTGTCAGAGAAGTCTGGCCCTACCCTGACAATTCTTTTGTTGATATCAACTTTTCATATTCAGGAATAACTTTAAGTTAACCAAGTCTTCATTTGTAGTCACCCAGCCCTGTGCCTCCAAAAAAAGTTGCAGAGGCCTACAGTTAAAGAAACCAAAAACATTTTAGTTTGTGTCTTTAATCAGTACTTTTTATTGGGTGTGAAAGTGTGAATTAGCCAAAGTTTGTGTTCTACTCAAGCTTCCTCCAGTGTTGATCTTTTCAGCTGATAATGACATATTTAAAGATGTGGAGAATAGGAGATGGCTTATTGGTTACAAACTAACATATTCTGATTTCAGACCTTATGAAGTGCTTGCTGTTTCTTTTTTTCAGGGCCCAGAAGAAAACCACCTCTGTTTCCTTGACAATAGGATCTTCTACACCAAAGTCTGGAGTCACCACAGCTGTAATTCAACCTATCTCTGTGCCCAGTCAGCAGGTATTTTTAGACACCAATTTTTAAATTAGTAAAAGTATTTAAAATTTTATTTCAAAATTTGTAAGTCCTGAAAAACTCTGTCATTTTGAGGAATTATATTGTTGAACTATAAACTTACATTATTGTATAAATAACTGATTTTAACTGATATAAAGAAATTATTTTAAAAAATTAAGTGTGTATCTAGTGAATGGGGCATAAAAGTAAATATACATATGGATTCTTACACAGTGTATATCAACACAGCATGTGAGCAGCTGACAGATCTGGTGATGATGAAAATTACAGAGTATATCACTTAATAATGACTTGGTCCAATTCCAAAAGAATGTAATACAAATGAATGCCTACAACAGTTTTTAGTGAAAGTTTTAAATTTTGTTATTAAATTAAATATTGCTGTAATTTCTCTGTGCCTTTTAGAGAAAATTAAGTTTTACTGTATAGAAGTTAAATGTAGAAAATTAATGTTCATTAGTTTATACTAATTTTAATGCCACTGTGGATGACTTAGAGTTTGAATATAAATCATAAAATACAAATAGAATAGAACTCTCTGTTAGACTGTACATGGTAAATTCTTTTCCCATCCTTTAGCTAACCTTGATAAGCTTTTAGGTACCTGGCTTTATTTATTATTACTAAATCAGTCAAGGGATGTAATAACAGGAGAGGGAACAATGCTTCAGTGCAAAGGACTTACTTGAATGATATTAACAGGAGTAAAACTCTCAAAATACTTCAAGGCAAAGACAGTCGGATACAAAATTCTCATGGGAAGTATAGAAGCTTCTAAAGCTTGCATTTGATTTCAGAAGTATAACAGATGTGAAATAGTGATGTCACTGAAGAAGCGTGCTAGAACGAGAACACCATAATAAGACTGTGCATTTGAGAGTTTGCATTATTGCATACTGCATATGCAGGCCAAATTACTGAAACCAATATTCTTCCCAGTTTATAGCATTGTTGCATTGCTTTGCAGGTTCAAAGCCCTACATCATACCTGCACCGTGTGGATGGATCTAAGCCTATCTATTCTGCTCCTATTTTTACAAAGGTATGTTTTATCCATCATGACTTTTATATGACACTCCTGTAGTCCAGAAGGAAATATCGAACTGATATATCCTAATGCAGGAATGTTTGATCGTGTTAAAACTTTTACAGTTTTCATTATCCTTTTCAGTACTAATGACTTCCTAAGAAAATACTTTTCCACTGCGACAACGAAGTTCATACACCTTCTACCCTATTAAAACCACTAGTGGAATTGCATGAATATTCTGTATGTGTTTGTCTTATCCCCATGACTGTCCTCCATTGAGAAATCTTTGTAAAGTAAAACAAGGTAGGCACCAATTACATGTCATAGTCATGACAAAGCCTCATTCACAATAATTTATCTACTGACAAGAACAAATAACACAGGCCTTTTTACTTTTTTTTTTAGAAAAAAATCCATGCAGGTATGTTAGTTAAAGCAGTTCAGGTATTCTTCATTGGGAAGTCTTGTAAAATGTAAGGCATGGACTTGCTAGAAGGGAAACTTTTATTCAGTAATTCTTAAGTAATTATTTAAGTCCATATTTATCATCACATTAATCCCAAATGAAACTTTAGAACTGGGAATTAGGTAACAGCAAAAAAAAAAGGATATTATATTTCCCTAATCTCTAAAAAACAACTTTAATTGAAAATATGATTTTCATTTTACCTTCAAACCGTCATTTCCATAGCAGTAACTATTATTTCTATTATTTAGTCACCATTTGTTCAAGTCAAACTGAAGAAAAGAAGGTTTCTGGTTATTACTTCAGAAAAACAGTTGACTGAAAGCTAATATGGAACAGCAAGTAGTTTTGCCTAGAGATAAGTAAGAGTAAGCCCTGTTCTCCACAACTGTCTAGCCTGGCTCTACCATATCCCTTTCACATGTCGGGAAAGGTCTGATTCTATCCCTCATAATTCTGCCCTGATACTGCAGGTATCACAAGACAGTGAATAGCGGAGGTGCAAGGGGTTAGAGAATGTGGTTACTGCAAGGTAGGGAGGCAGGTAACTTCCTAGTAAGAGTGGGAAATAGGAGAAATCCAGCACTCATTCAGGAACTACCAAAGCAATCGAAACTCCACTGTTACTTCCAAATCCTCATATCTCTTGTCCCTGGAATCCACTATTAACTGGCTTAAGCCAGTTGGGACATAACAAACCAAAACAATTTTAATTACAGAAGAAATGAACCAGATATGAACAACAAAAAATATAGTTACCCAGCTTCCTGATGCAAATTTCTTTCTATACAAACTTCAGGGAACAACCCGAAGATATTTAGGTTTACATGTAACAAAATTCTTACATATTTGATTAACTAGAGATCTATGAATAGTAACTAGTGATGACTCTGATCTTAGGCCTGACTTCAAATGCTTTGCTGCATCAAGGCCTAAAACTTTGTTAATAAACTGGAAAGGGAATGAGACGGCCAGTACAGTTAAAAAGACTCTTTGATTTATAATCTTGAAATGGATAACAAAGGCAAAAATAGTGGCTTTCCCCTGTCAATTCTGTTATTAAAAGTACTGTGCTTCTCCTCTCTCACTGTAGTTCTTCATCAAAGGTTTAGATTCTTCCTGAATTTTTTCAGATATATGTAAGAATTTATTACAGCCATAATACTGTCTCAGAAGTTATCCATACACAAGCTAAGATATCCTAATCATATTTGTGTCATCTAATTTTGGTTGGTTATAAATGGCTCAGAGGAAAAGCAACTCCACATTCTAGAGGTTGACCTGAAAGCAGCACAGCTACTCTCTCAGGACCAAGTCAATCGATGTGTAGCTAGTTGCAGAATTTTCATTTCATTTTGTGGAAGAAGTATGAAAAATGAAAGGTCAGGCTGCAACTATCTGCTTGTGATGGTCTGAGGAATTAAATACTTCCACACCTTTTCCATCTTTGGTCATATTAAGAATGTATGTGAAGGTAACCTATTCGGTCATTTTTAACTATATAGCTGATATATTAAATTGAATCAGAGTGAAAATACAGCTCGCAGAAAATATCTATTGCAAAAATGTAATGACACAATAAAATAAAGTTGAAATACAAAGGAAAGAAAAGAGTATTTTTAAGACTGTAAAATGCTCCCAGTTCATTTGAATTGTGATTGTTATATTTCAGGAGCTACAAAACTCCACAGCGTCTGAGGGACAAGTTGTAGTATTGGAATGCAGGGTCAGAGGACCCCCTCCCATTCATGTTAAGTGGTTTCGACAGGGTGTCGAAATTCAAGATTCTCCAGACTTCAGAATTCTTCAAAAAAGTAAGGCAATAATCTGAAGTGGCTACTTTTGATAAAGGCTGGGGAAAGATCATGAAATTAGCCTGTCAGGATTGAGTTTTGGATAGAGTCCTCTCTTCCTCACATTTCAGTGATTATAGTGGCTAGAAGTAGTAATTAAACTACTGCTACCAACAGACAATTTAAGTCTTCCTTATTTTGTAATGTGTCTGCACAGATTCTGTACTTGTCTAGAGTATTTCAGTATACTGTTGTTTCTTAATGTAATCTCTAATACTATTTTTCTTGTTTGTTTCCCCTCCTTATGATGTGATATGCAGAGCCACGATCAGCAACGGAACCTGGTAAGAATCATATGAAAAAATAATCTCTTGATTCACTAGCTCTTTGAGTTTGTATTGAAGCCATAAATAGAAAAGTGTTTCTGCTGAGCATTGGTAATATGAAACCCCCTTAAAGACAATGTTTCTTTATCACACCTTCCATACTTTACACTGTCATTTACATCAATTCCTTTATTAGTTAAACAGTAAATTCCATTTAGACCAGCAAGGAGAGTCTCACAGCTTAAACTGAAGCAAACTTCCTTCTCAGAAAATGAGCAATTTGCATGCTACTAAGGAAAAAGAATAAATCCCACAAAATTCCATTACCCAAATTGTGCTCATAATGAGTTTCATAACACCCAGCCACTAAACACTAGTTTGGCCAATCTAGCTTGGCAGATGTGAAGTGTCTTAAATGCAAGTAAAAGCTGATCCTCAAAAACAAGGGCACATCATTGAATTTTTCTAGCCTATTTGCAAGATAGAAGTCCTAGATTTCAGCAAGCAAAAAGTGTTCTTCCAACTACAGGTTTTCTCTCGCTGCTTCATTTTCCAATTATACATCATTATATGCTTTGGTAGTTTCTTGAATAGTAAGTGGATGCTAAAAGACTGAGAATGTTTGTTGTTCTCTTTAATGTTTCTAAGTACAGCATGTAGAAGAGAAGACAGTGATATGGTCCGAGCCTTGCTTTAAGAGGGTGGCTGGTTGTGCTTGAATATGCTTGAATTTGGAGAGAGTTTTAATTATGACATAAAAAGATAAAAGAGAAAAATTTTCTATCTAACATCTGGGTATTCCCAAAGAGTGTCTCTGAACCAAAGTACTTTAGCAATGGGGAAGTGTTTTAAACTTTAAGGGGTTGAATTACCAGTCTTTGCAGGGAGAACAGACTTAGCAGCTGAGTGATGTTTGTAAAGTAGCAGTGTGGCTATGAGGATACACACTAGGAAAAAGCAGTGAAGGGTTATTCCTAGGAGAAATGCAGCTTTCTCTTAGCTTTCATGGAAAGGAGAGGAGGTGAAGAGGGAGAAAGCTTCTGCTTTTCTTTGCCAGTTATTCACTAATTTTCTTACTGCTTCACAAAATGGTCATGAAGTAAAATAGGTATATAACAATCATATGTATACACATACATGCGCGTGTGCATGTGCACACACTCATGCATGCTCCATCCTGACAGGTATTATTAATTGTGGTGTGCAGCATCATCACCTCTAGTAACAGCTGATGCCTAGAATACATATGACTGAATGATCTGGTTTATGGAGGCTTGAAATGTGAGCCATGTGAAGGAAAGAAGAGTGCTGGAAAACCAAATTAACCTCTAATGAGGAACTAAAACATGTCCCAGTGCTAACAATGGGCTATTGGTAGCTTATAATCATAACCCAAACTTTAAGGTTTAGAAATTGTAAGTTACAGTACAAAACAGTTTGAGGAGAGTTTTGGTTCTTTTTGTATCCAAGTGTTTGGTTATGAAAAGAAACAAAGGAGAATAGATTTGTACTGAAATATGTTCAATTCTGTTTCTTTCTTGGAACATTCTTCTGGAATATCTATTACAAAATAAGTCTCCCAATTTAGCTGTTTTCTTGACATCTTTAAAAAAAAAAAAGTCAGATCAATGGGTTGAGTTTTTTCCCCTTCCCAGAGAAGTAGTCCAAGTACAACATCTTTTCTAGATTTAATTTACTGATGCTATGAGAATAGTACCTAGTATATAGCTCTTACTAGGAGCTTCTTTTCTACAAAGTCACTTGAACTGCATTCACGCTCTCCTTTAACATGATAGAAAGTATCTGAAAGGACTGAAACTTTATGCAAAAGTTTCTATGATTTACTAGCATATCTTAGGTGTTTTCTTTTTAATATCTAATTTGAAACTGTTCTGTCAAAATTCATAATCATGAATAATGTTTGCTTATTTTTGGGAATCTTTTTTTACCCCTTCACTCTCTTTAGGCAACATAATGTGTATAATGCTAGGTGAACAAAATATTTTAGAGTAGGATTATCTAGTAGAAAGGAGAAGCACTTGTTTGCTTGAGACAAAAGGCTCAAATTTCATTGTGTGAATAGTTGAGTACAAAGGAAATCGTATATTATGCCTCTTGCTAGAAGATTTTTTTTTCCATGGACAGCTAAGTGATTTTCAGTATCGTTAGTTGCAAGTTTCTTATAGCCTATCTGACAGATTTTACTGTGGAATAAGTAAGAATATTCATAATAGTTCACAAAGCTAATGATTTCCTTTCATAACTACTACGTGAAATAAGAAATAGAAGGTGGGATTTGGAGTCCAAGATGATCACTTTGCCAGCCCTCTCACATACCTGCGCCATCATGTTGATGGTGCTGAATTCTGTCCTTTCTGTGTCTGCTTAGCTTGCAGATGCTGAGAAAAGATACCTGAAGCCTTCCAAAGAGTACTAGGGAATGGATCCTTACATGAAAGGTGCATTTCTTGAGTTTTCACAGGTACAGAAAAGTTATTTAATATCAAGGTATCTCATGCCACTTTCAAGGTAGGTGGCAAGGCAAGAGTAGGAAGGCATCTCAAAAAACTACTTTGGTATCTGTATTGCTGCAGTTTAATAGACATAACAGTAGTGAATGCCTGACAGCAGTCTGTCGTTTTTTTGTTTGTTTTTTTTATGCTTGTAATTCTGTTGTAATATATATATTTATAAGCACCTTCCTGCTACCCAAAACCTATGAAAGAGTTTCAGTTTGGTATTTTTTTCTCCATGCATTCATTGAGCTAAGTACTATCCCTGTAAGATTTGTGCATGTATCAGTTCCTACTAAGCCCTGTTAAATAATATGCAGTGTCTTACTCTCCACTAAAATTAATGACAGTACGCTTATTGGTTTATTTGTGTAGGAATTGACTCTGTGCATGCAAAGGGAATGTAAATACAGTTTGGGCAAAATGTAAATATTTCCTTTTGGCATAAATTATGAGCAGTGTTTTGTGTATTAGTAGTAATACTGATAATAAGTAACACTGGTTTTTAGGATGTCATGAAGGATCTTAAAATTTCTACAACAGGAGCCTGGGTGGGTACCAGAAACATAATAGGTACAGCACTGGTTTGTGATGCACTTCATACTCTAAGAAGCCAGACAATACTATACCTGCAGAGGAAATTGTTCATAAGCAAACACACAACTGCTATTCAGAGCAGATGGTGAATATGTGTGCAAGATTGATAGGGAAACCAACATGCCTGTGCTAGATAAGTATTCAGAATTTTGAAAAATGGACATGATTTCTAAAAATTTTTCCAAGTGTACAACTTCCATGGAATTTTACATAAACTCTTAACAAGACATAGTGTGACTTTCATTGCTGGTTGTCAACCGAAGTCCAACCATCAACAATCACTTTATAGTACTCAAAAACTTTGGTTATCCTTTGCTAGGTTGGGACTAATGATTTAAAAGAAAAATGTTCCATGAGCTCACACAGGTAAGAAATTAAGAAGCAAGAGGGGGGTTTTGGCTGCTTTTTTTGGGTACATTCTATCTACCCTAATGTGTTTTGCACTCCTTTTTCTGTCTAGACAGAAATCGGTTTACATCACAAATCTCTCCAGACTGCTTTGTGAATTAATAGCTAGTCAGATTACTTAAAGCCAACATCACGGTTTGTCAAATTACCTGCTCTGTACTTCTTTCTTGGACATTTTGACTTTATGCTGATTGAATCCTTCAAAGAACAGGCTGCCTGAGAATGAAAAATCTCATGGAATCGTTTGCCAGCTGTTGATATTTTGACCATTACTCAGCTGTCTGGAGACAGCCACAAACTGTATTGAATTACATTAAAACAATTGTCTAATGGCATGTAAGAAGAAAACTATATGAAGTAATTTTTCTTAAATTGCCAGGGAATTGCCACATATACATGCTTTTTTTTCCCAAGCATAATACTGTGTATATTCACCAAAAACATCTCAAAAGATAGTCATCGCTTTTCTTGGATTGTGCTTTCTTGTTCCCTGTTTGGCTGCTGTGTTCCAGTTTCAACTCTAGTAAGTAACTCCCTTAGAAATCTCCCCCTATTTCTGCATAATGTTTGAAACTGAAAATATATGGCAGATGTTACAGAAATCCTTACTGCCTCCCACACCAAGAAAATCAGCTTTCTGGTAGCTGATGAAATGCAAACCACAGAAACTTCAGTAGGTCAGCATGCATGTTGGATTCTTGCATTTTTTTTAGTGAAAACAAAAGAATTATGACTAAGAGTCTGGCTCTCTTTCACATCTGAGCAGCAAAGAAGGGCTTGAAGAGAGCAATCTCCAATGAGCTATAGCTCAAGATGCCAAATGAAGAGGAAAACTGAAAAGAAGCTAAAATTATCCTTCTTTAAAGGTGGTCTGATCAATCTACATGCTATTGCTTGTCAATTACATTTTCAATTGCACTCTGCACTCCCAAGGTACCTACAGAATTCTGGTCCTGTCAGTGACCCCATCTTAAGTCTGCTGTGACTGTCCTTGTTTGCTGATGCTTCCAAATTCAAAGTAAACCTCTGATCTTTTTTGTACTATGTGATTTAAAAAAAAAAAATTGCTGCTATTCCTCTTCAATTGTAAATATTTAAAGCTTGTTCGGGTACATTAATCATCACAGTTATGTTGCTGAATGCGTTGATTTCAGCTTCGATGTATACACGTGACTTACCTAAGCCAGCTAGTTGGAAGTTATTTACAGCATCATAACTGCCTTAGTGTAAACTTTAGCATAAACTTTTCCTTGACCCTGACAAATGGCTTAATTTCTCCTCGAACCTGAACATTGCTTTAGGGACTAAAGTCCATGCTGCCATAGAAGTATTCTTATTTATTGTACCCGAACTGGTTAGATAACAGCTGCCTTGGATATTCATTACATATGCTGTAACCTCAATTCTTTACCCTAAAACTGCATTATATTGCCCACAATCACATTTGCTGTTGTTCAGTTTTCTTTTTAGTATTTTGTAAGTGCTGTTTGAGATATCTTCAAACATAGTCAGTTCTGTATATCTTTTTAAAACTTGTCTCTTCCTTTCTTGAGTGGCATAAAGCTTATTGAATAAGCCAGAACTGCTGCCTAACTGGGTAAATGTGTATACAATAGTGATAATCAGAAACAGGTAGATTAAATACTTTTTCCATTGTGTTATTCCAAGTTAAGGCATCTACAGGTCTGCAATGCTACCATCTATTATGCTACTCTGCATATTCAGTGGTTCTTTATTTTCACACTTCACCATTCTCTTTATATAAAAGATGCAGAGATACCTAAATGAGAAGTTACCTGATGGGCATATTGCTTTGCCGTTAAACTGTAGTTAAACTTCTGATGGCTAAGGGAACAAGAGCGACAATAAGAGCCAAGTTGTCTACAAGATGGCAGGGTTGTGTTTGGTTGGATTTTTACCAGGAAACCACCACTGTGACTACCCACTGTCTTTGTGTGGCAGAAAACTTATGGCTTTGAAACTACATCTTATAGGAATAGCTCTGTTCATTGCACCATAATGAACAACTACTAATAAAAGACCGTACTTATTTCCCAGGACTGTATGTGCATTACTGTGGAGGAAGCTAATGATCATATTTGGAGATGAAGGTGCAGATATAAGAACTACTCTAACTTTTATATAATACATAGAAACATTCTGAAGTAAACACGTTGTCCGTGATGAAATTTGTTAAAATGCAATGGTTTTCTGTCTTACCAAAGATTATTCTTCCTAATGGACTCATGAACCATTAAGGGAAAGGATTACTCTGTAAAATGTAATCTTTTTTTCCTAAATAACTGGCAAAATAGTCAAGTACTTGCATGCCTAAGCATTTTACATGTTTCAGTGAACAGAATGCTTTTGTATTCATCTAGTCAAGTGTTAAATATGTTTTAAGGCCCTGAGAACAGCATTTCAGAGCTGCTTTCTGGAACACATTTTTGTGATGAAATTATTTGTCAGTTGATGATTGCCGGGAAGTAGAACAGACATTATTTACTTCAAATCATCAGATTCTACTTAGCATAGTAACAGAAGGAAAAATGATTACGTAAATCTGGATGTAAAGCTAGAAAAATACTCAGAGCACTATGCATCCAAAGTGTGTTATGGAAATCTTTAAAGAACATTTCTTTTGTCAAATTAGTATTTTATTTCTATGCTTTCCACAGTAGTAAGCCTTTTAGCAAGGACCTGGAGGTCAGTGATTGTTGGTTTGGGGGGGGGGGGGGCAAAAATTAAAAAAGGAAATGGGAATGTGGTGGCCCCACATGCTTTTTGCCCAAGCTGCTTTTTGATTAGCTCTTAGGGTTTTTTATGTTTTCAGTTTAGCCAGTTTTTTCATGATTGATCACAAATGTGTTGTAGTTTGCTCATCCGGCTGAGAAGACCAAGTTTTAAATTGATTATTTTCATCACTAATTTACTTTCAGTTTATTTTACCAGGATTAGTTCAATTTACCATGTATAATTTTCAAATATACCGCCTCAGTAAACAAACCACATCATGGAAGAATCCATTAGAATTTTTCCATCACTGAAGAGTGAAGATCAGCTCTTCTCATGTGATCGTTTTACATACTTAAAAAAACGGAAAGAACGTTATGCATTAATTAGCTCTGCTGTTTGGAAAATAGGAATTCTGCTGGTTATATTTTGTAGTAACTTTGCCCTCATTCAAACAGCAGTTCTCAGCATGGTGGGAGTGATTTTCTTTTGCAGTCCTGAAATACCCAGCTTTCAGAATTCTGCTGTTAAATGAACAGGAAACTAGTGTGCTGCATGTATCAGATTACATCCCCAGAGTCAGTTCAATCCAGGAGTACGCACGTGTGGTTAACAATATAGCTTCAACTGCTTACGACACACCAAGACTCTAAAAAAAGCTGATCTCAGTAGTTCAAAAACTAGCTTGTGTTACCCATTACTTTCCTGATAAGACCTTTCATGAGTCATTAATCTTCATCTGGGTCAGATAAGATCCAACCTGCTACAGTATTGCCAGACATTCCTCTTGCAGCTACACGGAATGACTGGTTTGTGTTGCCAAAAAAACCCCCCATGTTCTGCTGTCTGAAAAACAACTCTGTGCCAAATATTTAGTTAGTCATTCATTTTTAGCCCATTTCCAGTATAGGAAGTTTTTGGATGCATTGTAATTTATAATTGGAAAAATTCCATAATTTTTGTGTTAGCTGTCTAAACAAGACAATGGTCTGCCATTCCACAATGAAAATTAGGAAAGAAAAAAAAAAAAAGAACTATTAGAAAATGTTTCCTTCTTTGAACTAAAAGAATTGAAGCTTACTTTACTGAACCTCTTCTACAGAATAATTTTCACGTGAAAGTTATTGGAGTATGAAATATTTTTCCTCACTTTTCAGTTTGTTTTTATTAGCTATATTCCATTGATTTTGTGATGATATCTGGGATTCCATGTAAATGTCCAAAATGCAAAATGCCTTTTTTTTTTAATGAAGCTGAATTCTATAAAACTTCCGTGCTTTGATTTTGAGACAAGAAATGAGCATAAGCAAAAGAAACTCCTATTTAATTAAGGAAACCCACGATGTAACATTGTCCAGGTCTAAAATTATCTAGGTATGTTGTGTAAATATTAGGATTATTTAGATTAGCTATGCAGTGAATTTTTAAAAAGATTAGAATACTGTTTACAAGTAGAGATAAAGTGACTTCTTCGAAAAATCTGGAAAAAATATGCCTAGATAATTAAATGTGCCCATTATAAATGGATGGAATTGATTTAGAAAACATTACTGTGAGACCCAACCTGAAATATGAACAGTCCAGCCTTCATACAAGTTTTCTGACTGAGGCCCTGGTATAATCAAAGCATATACTATGGCTATCAAAGTAGAACGAACAGATTTCAAACAGCCACAAAATATGTCTGTGTCACAGCATTCTGACGAGTTTCTGGGGTTGCTGTTTTGTCCTATAGTTTCAATTTATCCATTCTCACTGCTTTGCAGACAGAGACAGAAATTATCTTCCCAAACTCTGCATAAGGGCAATATTTGTGCATCCAGAGTTTTTAATTCTGGTCAGTTTATACAGAAATGTTAACTGGAAGTGATGACAAAATACTTTCTGTTTTTACTGGGAGTGGGAGTTGATCTGAAGTGTTGCATTAAATACAGAAAACTTTGGGGAAAGAAGGAATGACATGACATGCATATTGGTGGTGTTATTTGGAGACCCAAAAAGAGCTTGCAAGTATTAATTGCGTATGGAAACCAATATATTGATTCATATGAATTAGTACTATCTTGCATAAAAATGAAGATACTGAGTGTATGAAATGACTGCACAGAATTGTGACTTCAAAATTACTTTTCAAGACAGGCCCCATTTGAAAACTTAGTTTGGTGAATTTACTTGGTTTAGATACAAAGTGATTTTCATTAAAGCCATTTATGTTGGAAGATCTTCTGCAGTTCTCTCAGCATTTCTTTGTATAAGGAGCACTTTCTGGTGTCCTTCTAACATATAATGCAAAAACATTACATGGTACTTTAAATAGTTTATGATGCAGTTTATTTTTCTTTTTATTTCCAGAAGAGATATGTACCCTTGTAATTGCAGAAACTTTTCCTGAAGATTCAGGACTTTTCACATGCACAGCAACAAATGAACATGGTTCAGTAACAAGCAGTGCGCAACTAACTGTCTGCTCAGGTACGCGATGAAGGGAAACAGGAATATTTAATCAGAGATCTTAGATAATTAATTTACCTGTGACGTTATCAGTCTGCTTCCCTTGTAGAAAGGGCTGCTGTAAGACAAGGGTTTTGCCAACCTCAGAAAATTCATATAAAGAAAACTGAATGTTTTTATTGGCTCATTTCCTAGTTTAATATTTTTATTCATGTAAAACACATTTTTAAAGTGTCTGCCACAAACCTGGCATATTTTTAAGCATTAGGGTTCTGAGACTAGATGGCAGCAGAGGCAAAATGAAAGCAGATGAAATTATGCTACCAAAGGTGGCATATGACTTTTGTAAAATAATAAACTGTGACATGGTATGTTTAGTTTTGTAATATGTTTACATACATATTGTTGTGGAATGCACTAGCCTGGCTGCCGTTGCAAGCATGCCATGTATACATACATCCTTCAGCATTTTTAATTTGTTCTTAAATGATGCTGAGAGTCCAGGAAGAGGAAATGCTGTTTCAGCTGTTGTTGTCCGTACCTGCCAGTCTCAGCAGCTGGATTCCTGAAATAGATTTAGAGGGATCCATAAGGTACCTTATTGTGCCTTTTGCATGGGGCAAAGTCAGAAAATGAGTAGCCAATCATGTATCTAATTCATCATAAATTATCAACAGGAGGACTAGAAAAATATCTGCACAGAACCAAAGAGATCTCATCTTTAACAAACTAAAAATACTGCATGTATGTACCATGTACCATGTACTTTGTCTATGACTTGTCGGAGAGACGTTATTTTTTATTTCTTTTAGCCAACTCAGAAAGCTCTAGTCATGAATCACTGACAAGAGAATCCAACAGTGATGATTTCCATAATTTCCCACCGCTTCCTCCAGTTGAAATTAGCTCTCTTGAGCTTCCTCCTAAGAAACATACAGAGACCCACCAAACAAACAACACCGAGTTGAGATCTGGTGTGACAGCCCTTCAACTACAGCTCAATTTGTCTGAGGAAAAAACAAATGGCATCCATCCCATTCATGGAGTAAATGGAATGATTAACAGCAAGCCAAATGGTGATAAATCCATCCCACCTCCAGCTGTCTTGCTCTCACCTGCAAAGGAGCCACCACCTGTGCTTGCCAAACCAAAGTTGTGAGTATTTTTTGATTGTTTTTTGTTTCCTATAAACTTGATATTTTTTGAAAGCAGATTTTTGCCTGGAGCAATTTAGTGTTAGACAAGTAATGGACAAGGACTGTTCCTGTCCCTTGAAAAATCCTCTTACTGCTGTGATTTATGTCCCAAAGAGCTCAATACAAGAGAGAACTGTGTTCTTTCTCATAGTGCTACGTCAAAGGGAAGTACATTATATATACCAAATTCTACAGAAAGATTTAAGATAAAGTCATAAAAAAGAAATAAGTGGTAGTGGCTGTTGCTCAGTGCTTTTTATTCTTAGTCACTGTACCTAAATGTCAAAGTGGCCTGAGATTCTTGCATGCTATTCCTGTTTCAACACTGGTTAGCTATCCTTATTCTGAATGTTCTTGGTTTTGTGTAGTCAGTGGATATTCAGGTGTGTAATGTTTGTATTATTTCTTACATTATGTTTACATATAACGTAACTTATTCTGCTGTCAGCCAGATTACAATGGCTCTTGTATAATTAAAAACTGGAAAATGAAAAGCTTAAGGAGAAGAGAGAGAAATAAGTGGAAAAATTTGTAGTAACATTTTTACCTTATGTTTGTGATGATACCTTATTTATGCAAGAGTGATCTTATGCTGACTGTTAACATAGCTTGCTCTTAGCACTGCGCAGGCTCCTCTTTTGCATCTTCTTCAAAAATTTTTGGAGTATGACAAAGGAACTAAAATGCTATTTTATTTCATTTGCGTCAGTAATCAGAAGGGATTATTAATTATAAAAATGTGATGTGTTTAAGACAAAGCATGAAATATGGTCTTCAAACCTAGCAAGGTCATTTCTTAATTAGATGTTTTCACAGGATAACTTGCAAAATATAAAAATGCTGTTCTTTCAGCAATCGTGTGCTGATTTTAAACACACAAAAACACATGCTTGAGGCAGCAAACCAACAGGGTTCCCTTTCTGCACCCACCACTTTTTTCCTTCTGTTGCTCTTTGTCATTCTAAGCAGTCTCTGACAACTGTAGAAGAGAAGGAGGAGTGGAAGAAGTAGACAGGCAGTGGTGGAATAACAATACATATGGTGGTGATTGCATGTATGGGAGGGAGGTTGCTGAAGATGGCAACTTGCAGATGACAGGTGATGTGGAGTGAGCCAGGTGGTCCTGTACCCAGCACTTCTGTTGCAAGACCCATTTGTGAAGAAAGGAGATAGCTGCTCCAGCACAGCATTAAAAAACAAATTTCACCCCAGAGCTTTCTTTCCCAAAAGTGAGGTTGCCCTAGATAAAGAAAGCTGTGTCATACACTTCCCATTGTATAGTGTTTACTGCTACTTCTGCAAAATTTGTTTTGTTTTTAAACATAGAGTCAACACATAAACAGAGGTGAACATTGTATACCATGATGTGAGAAGGATGCTATTACAAGAATCCTTTCAGTTGCTGATGTCCAAATTGATGACCTTGGAATCCCTAGTGCAATTGCACTTGAGTCCTATATTTTGCCATTAACACTTGATACGTAAGAGAGTGATCTTGATTGCAGTAAAGATACATGTTTTGCTTGGCCAAAGCCACTGTAAGTCTATACTGCTGTCAGAAATGGTAATCTTGCCTTCCCCTCAGTCAAGTATTTTGCTCCCAAGCATAGTGATAACATAAGAAAGGGAAAGGGTGCTAACAGGAGGAGGAAAAGCAATGTCTGGCTGCAGAGACTTGAAATCATCTTTCAGCATTTGGTAAACTCCATCCCAAGCCAAAGCTAACAAAATAATTGCATTAAAATTAGCTGAGTAGTAAAGTAGCTATCTCAACCATGAGAGTGATCCCTCGTGAAGAGAACTCAGCTATGGAGTTGTATCAGTCCATAGAATATTAGTATTTGATGATAGAAACAGCATATATTAGCAATGACATAACAGCAAATATGTTTATTATAACATTTTTTACAATTATTTAAATATTTAATGTTGGCTATGTAGAAAGCTTGAAGCTTCTGAATATAATTAGTGAGTTTTAATTTTGATGAAGACTAACTCTGATTTTAAATTTCCTAAAGAACCTTTTCTTTTCAAGCTTATCTTAACTCAAATAGTACTTAACAGGTTTATCTGTGAACTCTCTGAATAGTTTGTTCAGCCAACATAGAAAGCAATTGCAAGGAGTTTGGGAATGATGGGCTGGTTTGGGGGGGGAGGTGTTGGTGGATGTTGTTGTTGTTGGGGAGGGGGAGGTTGGGGTTTTGGGGTTTTTTTTGTTTTGGTTTCTGAGTTTTGGGGTTTTTTGTTAATAAGAAGGAGAGACTGAGTACCTTCTTGAAGTATGAAATACATTTGCACCTTGGCAAGGAAGCTGTAACCAACACCTATAAATAATGATTTACCACAATTCAGTCCAATGCAAGAGCTGGCATGCTACAGAGAGTTACTGTAGTTGTTTTCAGGCTTGAAAAATGTTTTCAAAGTCCTACAAAATGCTCAGTTTGTGGTTACAGATACTTAAGTAATCCTTAAGCCATAACTTAGTTGCCTCAGTCTGGTGCTGAGAATATTTAAAACACAGTTTAATGTCATGATATACAGAATTTTCTGAGAAAAGCATATATAGAATTAACTGGGAAAGCAGTCAATACCAGATATTTTGTTAACATGGAATTTAAAAGACAGTAATGCTAAATATGGTTAAAAGGCACAATATTTTATCATGCCTTGTTAGCAACATGAGTTTCTGTAGACAAGAGAGGAAGAACTGTTGAACTGAGACCAAAACCACCCAGATTTCTGCAATTCTGATCTCTGCTGCTGTTACCTATTTGAGGAAGTTGAGCTGTTAGCATGCATTGGACTTTTCCAGGCAATATTGGTGTAATGCACAGATTAGCTTTTAGAAGTGTCCTCATAAATGTATCATATCTTCACATACTTTGCATCTCTCAAATTAGGCAACTAAATGTTAATATTAATTTCAGAATCAGAATGCAGCCCATGTGAGCAAGTGCTGCCTTAAACGCCTCATAATCCTCAGTCTGAATGTCTGCAAAAAAGGCAGGACACTGTTCTGTAGAACTGTATATAACATGTCCATGATTTCAAATGAAGAACTTCCATTCAAGTGGCTTAGTATTACTATTATTTTTCCATGTGTCTGTTAAAGCAGTAACAGAAAAGAAGATGGTGCTTGTATGGTTACTGGATGTACCTACTTATGTGGTGTTAGTTGGCTTTGTAACAAGCCATCAGTTCAAGGTTCGGAGACTCAATGTGACTACAGTGTGGTACCAGAATTTTCTGACTGGAGAGCTTCTCTTCAGTTGGCTACTGTTCTACCCTCTTTGTATTGGAGTGTTACTCCTGTCTGTCATATACAATGATCAGAAAGAGTATTAGCTTAGTGGGAGTCGTTCTATTCCATGCTTCTCTCTTGCAGATGCAGAGGGCAACTGTAGGTATTCGTAGTCTTCTTTCTCTAGTTAATCCATTAACGTAAACTCAAAAGAAGCCAGTAGGAAGTGACATGTTTGACACCTTTAAAATTAGCACAGCAATACCTGCCCCTGTAGAATGATCAACAATTTTTTCATTGCATTATTGTGAGAAGTAGTATTCTGCATGGGCATGCATCATGCATGCTGTGAAGAAGGAGAATGAACAGAATTCCTGAATTCCATCTCACCCAGTTCTCTTTGACAATGTTTTTTTTCAGTGAAAATGAAAGGTGGATATTAATTTTGTAAAAAGAATACCTGTTAAAAGTGAAAAGCAGTAAGATATAATTTCTTGCAGTTTATGACATTGTTGATAATCAGTATTTCCTTCAACATGGCTATATTGTTTCCTGTTTTTTCTGAGATTTGGGGTTTTTTTAAAGGTATTCAAAAGTCTTAATCTTATTTTTTAAATAATACATGGAAGAAATTAATCATAAACATAATTTAAAAGATATCAAGCAGTTTATATGTAACTTCAGTAAAGAAAAGCTGAGATTATAATTAAAATTATTGCTTAAAGATAAGGAGTTAATCTGGTTTATATGTATCAAAGTCATTGCTGTGTGAGTTGATAGAACTTCCATAACTAAAACACTCGTGTTCATACTGGTTGTGAAAGTGATACTATTTCTTGAACTGAATTGTTTGGCACTTCAGTCTCCACTCCTCAGCAGCTGAGTTTTCTTTCATGGTTTCTTCTGTTTTGTAATAGATGCCTCAGACATTTTTGCAAAGATGCTAGTTCAGTCATTTTTAGAATGTCTCTTATGCCCTTTATTAAAATGTTTATTTCACTGTTTTTCACTCATCACTGAAATTCTTAACTTCATCTTTCTACTAGCAATTTGCTTAATATTGAACTTGTTCTTCTAGTCATGTACATGCTGTGATGTTTGTAAAGCCTGTCCTGCCAGGCATTGGGTTTTAAAGATACTGCAAGAAATTACTACCTTAATAATTGTATTCGATATATGCAAGTAGTAAGTGACTGTTTAGACTATATTAGGAAGAGCTGGATAGAAAAAGAACATGTGAGAATAGCCAACAATCCAATGATTAATGCCTTGGAATATACAAAAGTCAGGTATAAATCCTTAGTCTGCCTAAGAGAACCGAGGCTGCTGAAGCCCAGAGAAGACACTTGTGCTGGGAGCTTTGAAGGGTTCACATTTGTTCTCATGCAGAACAACATCATTCTGGAAATGGTAAGACATGTGATATTGGAAAACTGTTTTCCATCCAGTTATACTAATGTGTATATGAATGTGATTTACTTTAGCAGCCTAAATTGGGAAGGATTGACCACAGAAATGCTCAACTTGAATGTTAAACACTGATTTATTTAAGTTTTTGTTTAAAGTTATTGCATCTTCTGATAAAAACCTGAATAGAAAACCATTCTTGCATAGTTTGAATGACACACAGAGCAGAGCTCTGCTGCCATTATTTGTATGAAACAAAAAGTAACAGAGCCTTTCCCAGCTATGGGAAAGATACTGCCCACCTCTCACGT